ACAAAACATAGATCTAAAATCTGCAGCACTGACCTAAAGAAAAAATACATGTATTTAAGTAGAGCTAACCAGTGATTATAGTATATGAAAAATGCTAATATTCTGCATTTATCTACATAAACATTACGCAGTATTATGCTACAACATCCTGAAGATCTAGTTATTAATGTAAAAATCATTTAAAATAGTTGTTTTTTAAATTGAAGTGTTTAGACATGTTAATGTTGCTTTTATAGAATAGTCTTTTAGCCATCTGGGTATCTACAGTTTTTGTTTGTATTTTTCAGGTAGTGGGGGAGAGAATGAGAAAACCATCAGGGATCAGGTAAAGTTACTAAAACGGCCAGATTTGTAAAAGAATTTTCACATGTGCCTATGCATCTTACTCCCAGTGAAATCAATTGGTAAGTCATCTAGGGGCTTTTGAAAATCCCACTGCACTCTTATCTGTATTGTTGGATTCCCAAATACCATTAAAAATCTGGCCCAGAACTTTTTTCCAACAGTGCTGAATGAATATTATCAGGGATATACTGTATTTACAGTGCAAGTAGCCAATTCCACTTTTTGATGTTTCTCTTCCCCATACTAACAACCAAGTTTCAATACTTTGTTTGCAGAAATAACTCCCAGAGGTGAAAAATGCTGTGTCAGTCTTTGAAACAGCCAGAAATGGTGACTGTTACTTTTGTATAGAACCACATGTTGGGCAAGAACATGGAAATCAAGTAATACTTAACACTCATCCTGTGTTCATTTGAGGCTCTCAAAATATTGTATAAAATTAGTAAATTTAGTTTCAACAACCAGTGAGGTAGAGGAATATTTACAACATCTGAAACAAAGTAAAAAATATTCAATTATTTGGGCTAATGCTACAACCAGGTTTTTGGCACACTAGGCATAGAGCCCAAATTGCATTCTCACAGTCTAGTTTAACTAGTAAAAGTGATTACTTTTTTCAAACACAAAGGTATAAAAACCAGAAAGCAAATAAAATAGGTTCTGGAAGCGAACACAGCATTTCATAACATGAGAAAGGCTATTATTAGATCTAACTTACCTAGCTAATACAGTAGATGCTCATTTGCAGCAACACCTTGTAAGAGTTGTCTCTTACGAGCAACATTTCCACTGGCCCATTTGATCATGGATTGTCCACTTGGAAACAGCAACATAGCCATCCCATGAGAGCGACATTTGTGCTGTTATGATGTCACATCAAAGGGCAGAGATTTGAGGGGGAAGAATGCAGGGCTGCTGCCCCCCAAATTGCATGATTCTACTCCCTTCCCACCCCAGACTCTTCTGCAGATTTCTAGAGCACAGAGCCCTGTCCACTTGCACTGTGAGACAGAGCCTGAGTGGAGTGCAAATGGACTGGTGTGTTTGAGAGGGAGGGTCTGAAAGAGGGATTTTTTTTTCTAGGAGGGGGAAAACGTGGGGTTGGAGAAGCAGCAGGGTGCAGATGGAAGTTGTCCTCTTCCTTTCCTCAGCATCTGGCTTGCAGGTGGGTGTGGGGGATTGCTATTTCGCAGTGGTATGGGAACCTGCATCACACACCAGTGCATTGAGCTGTGTACTCCACCTCGGTTGCTGGCAGCGGGGTGTAGGTGTGCTATTTAGACATGTTAGACCAGCCTCCCTGCCTTCAGTCTCCACGGGAAGGCACTGATCTGTTCCCCCTCCACTGTAGGTTTCCCTGATACCAGCACCAGGCATCCATCTCTTGCCAGCAGAGCATGAAGCTGCCAGTGGGAGCACTCTCAGCCAGTCCCAGGTAGCCAGGCTCAATCAGATGTTCTGCCAGCTGAGAACTGCCCTGCCAAACAGAGTTCCCCTGCCCACTACCCCAAGCTTTGGCTAACCCCACCCCGCAACTCCTTGCCACACAACATTGCTGCCCCACCCCTGCCAGAACATCTGTTACTCTTAATATGTCTTTGGATAGAAGACATTCCCCATTACAGCAATAGTCATGTGGGAGCAATATAGCATAAGGGCACTCATATGCTGCTAACAAGTGTTTACTGTATTATAGAAATCTTACACCTACCATTATGCACTTTATCACATATCACAAGTGAAATTGAAATAAAGAAAGCAATACCACCTAAATGGATGAAGTGTTGTAAGAACTGTTTGGTATCTCGAAGAATCAGACTAACCAACTTTAAAGAAATACACAATGTGCTTTCTTCTTAATTTGTCAATATTCAACTGGCTAATTGAGAAAGTGATTTTACACTTACCATTCAATTAATATTTACAACAGTATCTGCATCAACCTGATATTTTCTAAACAAACATCCACTTCTACCACCCTTCCTAGGCATTTCTAATATCAGCTCACCCACATCAAATACTTACCTAATCAACTAGCCTATTCTAATAGTTAAATAAGTTTTAACAATGGTTTTCAACCTGTTGTTCATGGATCCCTGGGGTCCAAAGGCTATCTTAGGTGTCATTATGCTGTGTCAAACATCTTACCAAGCACGTGCAACATTTTTAATTGAATTCTGTTCAGTCAGTTTTCAGTCTAAGACTTCAATGGTGGGATCTACAGACTTCAGGTTGAATTTCCAAAGGAGTCTGCACCTCCATTCAAAATTTTTAGGGGTCCGCATATGAAAAAAGGTTGAAAATCACTGTGTTAGGAGGTAAGCAGTTCATTCTTCCATGTGTCAACCTACATATAGCTTTCTTTGAATTTCTGTCTTCCAGGACTAATGAGTCACTGTTAGCAGCCTAATATAAAATAAAGCACCATTCACGAAGAAAGAATTAAGACACATTAAGAAAGTGTCTGCCATAAAAAGCTAGACAAACATAACTAGGTGCAGGGTAGAAACAGGGAACTGGTCTTCAAGGAGATTTTATTTTCTTTGTAAATTCTTGTACTGGTTGAACAATCTTTGCAGCCTTTCACTATCAAAGGATAAGAATTAATGAAAAAATAAGAAGCAATATTTTATTTCAAAACAGGTTTTGTGGTTTGTGTTGTACATTGGGGTGGCTTGAATGATATTCAACAGATCTTTGCAAACAAATTAACATAAATTAGATATGGCATGAGACAAAATTAGTTTCTGCTAAAATGTGGATAGTTAGATCCACCTCTATGCCAATTTTTACCCTTTAATTGGATACTGACAAGTATTTTAGTAAGAGGGTAACTTTTCAGTAAAATATCTGGGACAATGGGAGCTGAGAGACAAATTTCACTCAAAAAATGTACTCCCCCTAAATATATGGAAGTAGGCATTCCCATCTCTCAAAATGAAGCTCTTATTTTATTTTTCAGTCATCATCTATTGTTGGCTTGATTGTCACTCCTCTTCTTATTTGACCCCAGCCAATTAAACTGCAAAATGAAAAACAAGTTGAAGTTACCTGTAATTGTGTTTAAAAATATCCAGAATACTCACATAGGTTTCTGATATTCCTGAACTTCCCCTCCCCTCCCCGACACTGCAAAATCTTAAAAGACTGGCTGCTGGAAGCATAGGATTGAGGAGAGTAATGGAGAGAGCACAAGTAAGAAAAAGTCCTGTTTAAGCTCTGAGTCTTTTAAAAATGTGATATTAAACATAAGCACACACTAAGGTTTTACGTTTCCATAACTGTCTAGTTGAAGTGAAAATACGTTGATCGTTTGCTTGCTTTCCAGCCTGCATAAAGATTTGCATTTTTTAAAGGGAAATCAGAACATCTTAAAGGAATACAACAGTTAAATATTTGAGGTCACAGCATTTCTCAGAGCATAACCTGAACACTGAGCTGACACTCACATAGTTTATACCACTTGTACAAGGTTATGCAAAATCTTCCCTCTTCCACTTCCCTTTACACACCCACTGCTTTATTAAAAATCTACTCTTTCCATTAGCTCAAGGTGCAGAGAAAGCTTTTAAAAAGACTGCAACATCACATTTTCAGCCAAGAGGTGATGCATATAATTGATGCAACTGCCTTTAAGATTCTCTCAACTCCTTGAAGGGAGCCATGTAAGAATTGGACATTAATCCTGAACTTGTCTGCCACAACTCTAGGCTCTCACACCTTTCAAAGTAAGTCCCAGAAAAATAGTAATACTGATAAAAATGGAATTGAAGTAATTAATCCATCATTTCTAGCAGTTGTAGGCTGAAGCCCAGTTATAGCAGAGCCATACTCAGGCCCTATATGTCCCTAGTGTGGGGTTGCTGCATTATGCCTATTTGTCCATTGTCCTTGTTTTGACCCGTGTCTCTTGCTGTACAGGATTTTACTTTCTTTTATATCCCAACTGCCACGCCCTCTGTGCTCTCATTCACTGCCCTAGAAAGCCTGAAGGGAATGTCAGAGGCAGAGTTCTCTTCCCCTTTCTCCATACCAGCTGTGTCATTCTCTTCTTCCTAATTAGATCGACCCAGTTTCTTTGTTCTTTACCCCTCCCCTCTATTTCTTCCCTCTTTCAGTTCCTTCCTTGCCTGGTTGTTTTTTCTCCTTCCCCTACTACTACAGTACAGTTGGCAACACATGAAAAAATATGCTACAAACAATTCTAGTAAAAGGGCACCTGAGAGTGCCAGCACCAACAAGACGACATCTGTGAGCATTTTGGTGAAATAGTTTTGTTTCAGAGGGAAGAAAAACAAAGGAAAGATGCACCAAATGCATATAAAATCTAATGGCTAACAAGCCACAAATTTCACAATTCATTGCTGGAAAATGTTACTTATCTTCTACTCACATAGCCCTCTTTCAGCTTCCTCCATTTCTATCTTGGTGCACATTCTTTTCTTGTCTGCTTAGAAAGTGTTTGCTCCTCCGCTAACTACTTAGTAGCCACTTCAATAGTCTCTACTAGCTACCTCTCTACTGAAGGCATGTGGTTCCCATCTCTGCCTGCTGCGGAGCTCACCTGCAGGGACCATTACAGAAAGGGGTAGCTGCCAGCCACAGGGATACAGAAAACTATCTGACTTTCTCAGGTGTTCAAAGCCCAGTATTCCCTAGCCAGATCAGTACCAGGAAGTATGTGACCATACCTTTATTCTACTTCCTTCAATAGGAAGTCTACACAGAAGATATAGGGGACAGGATTGCAGTGTTTCTAGGCTAGCTTTATTCTCTTACTAAAATATTTACCCAGCATTGCTCAGGTCCTTAATTTTTGTTTTCCTTCATTTGAGTCATTGCTCTGGGGTGGGGCTGGGGATGAGGGGTTCAGCATGCAGGCTTCCCCAGGGAGAAAGAACTACACCAGCTCTCTTTCACCATAGCAGCTTGGGACCAGGTGAGAAGTGCCTCTTCATTGCCACTGCAGATACAGTGGGCATAGCTGAGGGAGGAATACATGTCCTCCAGCTGGGGCAGGTTCAGGTTCATCTGCCCCGTTCTCCTCAGATTGAAGAATGGAGAAAACTATGCATTTTCTCCTCGCTCCCAGATGAAGGGGCAACAGCCAGCAATATTCCCATATGAATGTGGAGGGAGACTCGGGACTGGATGCCCCCAGCGAGCCCCTTTCATCTGCCTGGTGATTGTCTCTCTTTTCTGTATGGTTTTATGCATTTGCATACGCATGGGGAGGGGAGCTTCACCTCCACTCAACCAAACCCTTACCATGCTTCTTATGATAAGGAGCTGTATGCTACATTTGGTGGTCCTAGCACTTACCATTTTGGAGGAGTTCTTGAACAAACAGATGGGTGGACAGACTCGCTCGCTTGCTCACTAACTCTCTCAAATATGTATAATAGATGGGATCACAGAATATACATTCTAGGAGGGCAGTTGCTTGAAGAGAAGCCAGGCAATAAGCTTAACTAAGACCCATCAGACATATAGCTCCCCAATTCCTGGGATCCTATTACAGGATGCTTTTGGTGCCCCACCAGCCATATTATTCTTGTAATCTGTGATGGCCAATAAAATTGATACCTTGGAAGAAGTCAGTGTCTCTTTGTTTCCTTGTCCTGTCCACCACACACACTTTGCGAAGTGGCACTAGCAGTCACAGGCAGCTGAAACTGCTGAGCCCACACCAGCAGACTGAGAATTACTGCTTTAAGACAGACCCAGTCTTACAAGGTACTGTATCCTTAACTTTAATTTGGTCTTTGGCATCACTGGGTTAAGAGTCCCCGCTGTTAGTATTACTGTAGTATGACATCAAGTCACAAGTCACAATTCACAGCATCCGAAAGTTTGAGCTTAACATTAAGCAACACACAGTCTATGAAGTACTGAATTTTTCTTACTCCCCTTAACATTTTTGAAAAAAAGTGGTGTCCCATAGAAATTGTGACTAGGTGCTTTGAGAATTTACAGGAATAAAAATGAATTCTACAGCAGAGACGGACAGTATTGGTATCAGTGCAACACAGTAGCATCAAGGGTTATTTTGTCATTATATTGCGAACTTACCGCCAGTGTTTCTCAACTCTTCTACTAAGGGCAATTTTTTCTCCTACTTCTGTGCACACGGGGTTAGTCAGCACTATCTTGCCCAAATCAGCCTTCACTGCGCTAACTCTTCCTCCAGTAGACAAGGATCCTATATTTACCATTAGAACTTCATTCTTGGATAGTTTTTGCACCTAAAGCAAGATATAAAAAATTCTGTAAATTTTATTTTAAATATGTAAGTAGCTTAAGATGTTAATAGCGTTTTGCAGATAATACTTTAAATGAAAAAAAAAAAAAAAACCAAAAAACACATGTTCTCTCACTGCTACTGCCTGATTACCAAAGAAAAATACCAACAGAAAGGAAGGCAAATATCAAAATGTCAAGCACTATGTCCCACAAGGGCTGAGGCTCAGGGATTCCTCCAACAGCAGAACAAACCGACACTTGCACTCCAGCCCCATGGAGGGGCGCCAATGCTCAAAGACTTGCTAAGGGGCTGAAGCACGAACACCACCTTCACCCCGCTGCTGGGAGAAGATCCGAGATTTGGTGACCCCCCTTTCCCCCAAGGGAAGATCCAGCACCTCAAGTTGTGATAGTGGGGAACAGGTCAGTGAGAGTATATTTGGGGGGTGGAGGGAGGGAAGAGAAGAGAGAGTTCTCATTCGTTCGTGGGCCCTCACCTGCTTTTTCTGTGAGTCAGGGTAAGGATGTAAGCAACTACTCAACTACCTGATAAGCACAGGCTTATCAGCTAGTTGAGTCACTACTCAACTAGTTGTTCTCCCCCCCACTGCCACCTCTGTACTGGAGGCAGCAAGGGGCGAGGGGGAGGAAGGGAGAAGAGGGGGAGAGAGAGCAGGAGCTGGTTCCCCCAGCACCATTTCTGCAGGAGAGCAGGGAAGGCAGAGGTCCAGTAGGGGAAAATGGCACAAGGACTGAAGCACTTGCACCAGGTCCCAACTGCTGCGCCTCTGCCTTTTAAATGTAGTAAGAGCCACACGGGGCTGCTTCAGTCCCCGCTTGCCCCAGGTTCCCTGTTGCACCTCTGCCTTTTAAATGGCAGAGGCACAGTGGGGATGGCAAGTGCCCCACCCCCTTATCCTCTAATCAATTAGTTGATGGAAATTAGTAGATAAATTTAACATTCCTAGGTCAGGGACTCCTGACTGAAGAAAGGTTCCCCTTCCCCAGTTTTAAAATAGGTAGAAATATACTAACCTTTGCAGCTTTCTTGTCTCCCTCAGTGCGCACACCTAGCAGTCGCCTAAGCAAGAAATAGGAAATTTCTAGCTCTGTGAATATTTCAGGGAGTGCTCCAACTGCACCAAGAACCTGTCCCACCATTCGATCAGCCCGACATAAAGTTGGGTCAATTTTAGTGCCCACACCTATTAGAGAACAAGATAACTTCTGAGGAATAATTGAAAATTAAATATCAAATTTACATGCAAATATATTTAAAGGAGACCTATACATGCAATTAACCATTATTCTTAGCAACATACTGAACAACCCCATTTCCCAGCTGAAGATGGACGTTAAGAACATTAGGAACTGAACTACCTTGTGTATACTATTTAACAGCATAATTATAACCAGCTCTAATATAGTGTCCCAGGATTCATCATGCTGGTGGCAGCATAGACAACAGAGTTTGATGAAGCTCAACCAATGTAATTTAGATAAATAGCTAAATTGTACACTGTTTGGCACTATTTTATAAAGCTTCATTACATACATATATATGTAATTACATTTTATTTATATATATATATATAATATATATATATATATATATATATATATATATAAAAATAAAAGACATTACATACATATATATAAAAGTACACAACTGTTGTGGGAATCACACATTAGGATTTAATGTACATTTTAATATTTTTTTTAATTTTTCCCCTCTTTTTAGGAAACGTACTGTTATCAGAAACTCTCCAAGTTTTCAAAAAATTAGCAAGAGGAGAAAAATGTCTTCATTAAACAAACACTCTTACCAATTAGGCCTCCTGGAGCAGCATACTGTAAATCATTATGTTCTGCAAAAAGTGATACAATTTTGGAAAAGATTGGCTTGCACATGAGTTTTCCTTCACTGTCCTTGGAGACAATACCAGGTCTGACTTCAAGTTCCTGGCCTACCTAAGTGTAATGGAGAAAAGGTGGTCAGATATTTCTGTTTTACCAGAGTACAAAACTAGCTGTGGTGAGAGAGAAGAGTTATTTTTCCAAGAGTCACATGAATATTAACAGCAGTGGGCTGTTGGATCATACAATTACAAGTACTACCTGGAATATCAACACAACTTTTAAAAAGCTCTGTTACACCCAGGTAAAAAAAAGGCAGTTATTCTCCCTTCAAATGTTAAATAGGATGACAACTTAAAATTTAAATGTTGGGCCTAAAACTAATTTATTTTTATTTAAAATGTTTTCTTGCAATCCGAAACACTTAGGTCACTGAACTAGTGTACGAAAAAAACAGAGCAACTAAGAAATTGTGTAAGAGGTGTATGAACTTTATCATTTTAGTTTTCCAGCTTAATAATCAAGGAATACGGATGTTATTTTTAATATACAGAAGAGACCTGAAAACTTGTTTTGTTGATAGTACTCCATGCCAAAGCAGAGCATTTAATCATACGTACTTTTAATGTGGAGATTGAGTGCATAGCTAACACACACTCCTTACCTTCATTTAGATTTATCAGCACCTCTCTAACTCCACCTTTTTAAATAATTTACTAAACAAGTATGCACATGCAAGATGGAGAAACTGCACCCTCATATTCATTGTAAGGCTTAGATATCAACTCTGGAAAAAAAAATCTCGTGTCAATTTAAAAAAATATATTACTAGTAAAAAAACTAGGCATGTTAACTATAACAGAGATAGAAAACTTTTTTTGGGGGGGAGGAGGGGAGGCATTGGGCATGGTCAGTGTCATTGCTTCAGCTTCCAAATAGCAACAAGGCAAAAGGAAAACATTTTAGAACAGGACTGTAAAACCCAGTGGTTTAGCTAGGACAGGAAAAGTGAGTGGACCCAACTTTCAGGAGGGTAGGCAATGATAGGGGGCAGAGGAGGAAGGGATGGAGGGCCCAGAGAGGGCAGGAAGGATCAGGGACCCTAGCCAGAGGGAACAAGGCTGAGTGGGGCTAGTGCTGGGCTATAGTGGTGAATTGGGGGACAGGGCAACCTCTGAACCCCCAGGTAATCCCCAGGCTCGAGGTGCTCAGGGGAGACGACTTCGGGCAAGGGGGTGGAGTCAGGATGGGGGGGAGGGAGGGCCTGCAGCAGAGGGGATTGCCCCAGACTCCATGTCCCTCTGGGAAAAGTCTTGGGAGCAGCAGTGCATGGCACTGGTGGGGAAAGCGATGTGGTCAGGCTGATGGACACACAGCCAGGGTCAAGAATCCCAGCCTGTGGGTTGGGGGAGCTCTAGTCCTGATTTGGGTGGGCCAGGATACTAAATGGGTGGCCACAGCCCACTAAAGGCCACCTGTAGCTACACCCTTGGTGAAACCACAACCAAAGTCAGGGCAACTTAGGAGCAGGAAGTCCTTGAAGTTATTTTTAATTTTTTTTTTTAAACCACTATATACCTTTAAGTTGCTTTGTATTGTCCATGACCTATTATGCACCTATACCAGGGGTGGCCAACCTATTAAACAAAGAAAGCTGAAACAGTGGCCGAAAAAATGCGAAGAGCTGCACCAAAATTGTTGAGCAAAAAAAGAGCTCCCCACATCAGGCTCCCGCCAGCCAACACCATCTTGCCAATGCCATTTTGCTGTGCCGCACGGCTCCCCTGCGCCTAGTGAGCGCATGGGGCGGCTTAGTGAGCCACACTTTCAGGGGTGAAGAGCCACATGGGGATCGCGAGCCGCGGGTTGGCCACCCCAACCTATATGATTATTACTATAATGAGGAGTTTGGCGGAAAGCAGGGGGGAGGAGTAACTGTTACCTTTAATACACCTTTTAGAATACTACCACCAGCTACACCTCCCTTAAGATCATCTACTTCACATCCAGGCTTGTTGACGTCAAAAGATCTAATTACTGAAAAGAAAAAATAAACACCATTATAAAGATATACATATGCTTAACTAGTGATACTTGATATGATGTTTACAATTCTTGTCTATTTTTTAAATCTACTTGCATCAAATAATGATGAATATTCTGCCCTGTATTCACCATGCTATTCAATCTGTTATATGCAATTATACAGATTAACACTACATGAACTATGGGTCAAGTTAAACTGGTTACACCCAAAATATGTTAACACATCCTGTCAAGAAATATCTACTGTACTTTAAATACAATTGTAATTAATTTAGTTGTCAGACACATTTCTCAAACTAATTCATATTTAAAGATTATTCCCTGCGCCATATAATTATTAGAAATATCAGTGCATAAGGGAGGAAATAATGATACATCCAACGTTACTGGAAAGCAAACTATTCACCAAGTGGAAGAAGATTAAACCAGAGAAATATTATTTGCAAGTTTCTAAGAAACCATTACAAACAAAATAAAGCAAAAGTAGTATTCCAGAGGTGGCCAACCCACAGCTCTTCACCCCTGAAAGTGAGGCTTGCGAAGCAGCCCCATGTGTTCCTACAAACGGCCCCTGGTTCCCTGTGCTCACCAGGTGCAGGGGAGCACTCTGGTGTGGCAAGATGGCGGCAGCCGGCGGGAGTCTGATGTGGCCAAAAAGCCTAACCTGTGGGGCAGCAGTCTTTTCTTTGAGAAGGGGGAGCGCGCTCAATACTGGCTGGTAGGGGGGCTCTTCTTTATTTTTGGCTCAATTCTGGTGCGGCTCTTCACATTTTTCTGTGATTGTTTTGGCTCTCTTCATTTAATGTGTTGGCCACCTCTGTAGTATTCTATAAGTAAGCACTATGCTACAATTTATAGTGTTCAGAAGTGAAAGCACAATATTTAAATTCCTACACGCTTACAGTTTAAGTAAAAGTAATGAAAGAAATGCATGCTTTAAATTAAAAATCTAAACATGGTCCCATTGATTTCAGGA